AAGCACAATATCTAAATTCCAAGACTTCTCTTCCCAACTTTCATATGTTCTAGCTACCTGATCTGAAATCCTTTAAAAAAGGGTTTTAAATAAGGGGAAATTCAATTAGAGGCAGAAGGATAAGAGAGGTAAAGAGTAAGACCATGTGCTTTTTTTATGTCCAAATATCAAAAAATGCATAATATTTGTTTGGCAAAACAATAATCTTTACTTTGATGGCCAGGCTTTCTCAGTAAAGTCCTGAATTTCTAAGGAGCAACTGCACATGGATTTCTACAATGGCAATGATAGCTGGGTATCTAAAAGTCAAAGGACCTTTTAGGTTATACTCAGAAGATGGTGTCATGAATATATAACAGGATATTTTAAATAACAGGACATCTCATTTTAAAATTATTTTAAATGATATTAATATTGTGCATTTATATTTTTATATTAATGTAGACATTATAAAGTATCATTTAACTGCAAAAAACCTGCAGGTGCTAAATGAGATTTCTCCAATGAATTTGGGGATCTGATAATAAAATAACATATTCTGTAATTATTATGAACTAGATGCACATATTGTGAAAGATATTAAGACAGCCACAGCAGGACCCAGAGCAAATCATATTTTTTACCTATGCTATAAATAAAGATAGGGTATCTTTCACATATCATTAAGAAACTATTAATCAAAATGTATATGTATAATTTAATGTAAACTTGGAATTTGCAGCATGTCAATTACAACTTCAATCAGAAGAGTACATGAACTGAATGAGGTCTAGAAAAGAGAGAGCTGTGCTAGGATTTGTTGATGTCTGGCTAGCAGGATTCAAGAAGAATGATTATGTATTTGGCACACTTATTATTTTGGCCACTCAAGAAGATTAAATAATTTGCCTGAGGTCTAGTTAGTAAACACACCACTCATTTTACTTCTGCATAAGGTCATGAGAAAATCTGCCATAATCTGGCCTAAATAAGGCACTAAGTTACCCATTTTCCATGTAGATTCACGGACAATGAGTAGTCTTCTGACATCTTGCTTTTCAGATACCTTACTAACTAAAAGGCAGCATTCCAGGTAGTGTTCTCGGTATTCCCCACTATAAATTAGTAAATTGGCACTTTCACCAAGATGTCTGCCAGATATCTGTCCTAAATCAGTTTCTCTGATCTTGTTGATTTTAGATGAACTGAAAAAAATTTTAATCCCAAGCTTGAAAATATGAGCCCTGGCAACCCAATCAAGAGCAGAACCCTCAGCAGAAAATCCCACCTGTTCTTCTTCCTTCTTAACAACCAAACTGGATACCATATTTCACCAATAATGTTTGTTTAAAAGTCTAATGATCCAAAAGATATGAAGAGAATAAAATATGTGTTTTACTTGCTTTACCAACAATTTCATATTTCAGAATGTCACTGAACCAATGAAGTCAAGCATTATGTGGACTTCAATTCTTATTAATAAGGAGTGATTTATTTATCATATGACAGTGGTAAAGACCTTGGGGTAAAGTGGCCATGTTTATATTAAGATAAAAGACCACCAAGGTATGTAGTAAAATGCACACTATTTCTGAAAGCTCTAAATGGATATATGAATACCATGCAATGTAAGTTTATTTAGAAATAGATATAAAATATAATTTTGAATGGGTTCCTGCTGCAGATCTTAAATGAAAATCTGACTATACAATCTTGAACATTTTAAATAAATAATAAAGGACTTCTGTTTCTGAGTAGGATGGAGTAGCCAGTGGCACAGCAATACTTCTGCCGAGAACAAACAGAAAAGCTGGATAAAATGCAGGAAGCAGCTATTTGAAGGCAACAAGAACAAAAGAGGCCAAGACTCCAGAAAAGGATGACCCTGGAAGTGGTGAGCTCACCTTTCACTTCTTTTACCCTAGCCAAGGGCACATCCCAATTCTGTGTACTGACAGGAGGCTGATCATAAGGATTTACCAGGGGACAGAGAAACCAGTAGAGCTTCTGACAGACATTGGTTGGGGTAGAGGGCTTCAAGGGCACATTTGATCTTCATCTCAGAACACTGACCCAATACTGAGGCTGTACAGGGCAGTGGATTGAAAAATCTAAGCAAAACCCTCTGAAAAGCAGAGTGAACATTTTCAAGCAGTCTCTCCAAAATCCCAAAATTGGAGGTGGGGACCTGCCAGGGAGAGACCTCAGAGAATGCACCAAGCTCTAAGCTGAAAATGCTGAGAGCCCAAGATCAGCAAAACAGATGGAACCTCTACAGGACTCAACTCCAGACTCAACTCCACCAGCTCCTGATTGACTTAAGTGATCTTCCACCAACATCCACCTAGGTAAAGAAGATGACACCATCTGGAGCCCCTGGAAGTTTTTTATAGATAATGCCCAGCATTTGACAGGTATTCATGTGTCATCCCAAGATAGGATTCCATGACTAGAAACCAAGAGAAAAAGCAGACAAAAGAATCAACTCCAGATCCAGAGGGCAGAATTAGCTGAGAAACACTTCAAAATACCCATGATAAATATGGTCACCAGAGTATAGGAAATACGGAGAAAGAGAGGATGAAAAAGAGAATTTCATTGGCAATATAAATCTAATAAAAAAGAACCAACTGGAAATTCTAAAACTGAAAAATAAAATTTCTCAAAAGCAAGTTAGTAATAAAAAGTATAGACAAGAAAGTGCAGTTTGCAAATATGTAAATTCCCTCATGAGTGCAAATTGGAGAAGTACACAATCAAAAGATGGAAAAAGATACACTGAACAAACGTAAAATGTAAAAGATGGATGGATAGAGAGAGAGATAGAAAATACATGTTCTAACTCGAGGCCAAGATTGTGGAGTAGTAGGACACTCGTGGCTCACCCTCTCCCACAGATAGACCAAGACTCACATCCACGGACCCACTCAGCCAACCAGAGCACCTGCAGAACTCCAACAGAACACTGTCCTCTTCAAAAAACAAAGACGCCAAAAATCTGTTTTATTCCTACATTGGCATTAGATAGATAAATAAATAAACTCCTTTAAGAACCACAATAGATAACTGATACTCCATAAGCTACAGTGCTAGAGAGATATGAGCAAGATGAAGAAGCAGAGAAACCATTCCCAGTTAAAAGAACACAAGAAATCCCCTGAAAGAACAATCAATGAAATAGACATCGATAGCCTACTAGATCAAGATTTCAAAAAAGGAGTGATCAAAGTATTGAAGGAACTACAAGAGTTCCTTCAATTGTTTAGAGATATAAAATATGTCAAAACTGAAATTGAAGCTATAAAGAAGAGCCAAGTAGAATCGGTAAACTCATTGGCTGAGATGAGAATGGATTTAAAGGCTGTGCAAAGCCAACTAGATAATGCAGAGGAACGAATTAGTGACATAGAAGACAGGACAACAGAAAGCACCCAATCAGA